GGGGGGGGGGGAGACATTGTTAGACTGACACCACTCATGGATTTATTCGCCGTGTGTTTCATGGCATTTCTACCCTTCTTTCATCCATCAAAACAAGCCTACCTACACTGTCGCCCACAAAGCAGCTTCCCAACTGACAAACACCACAAAGTTGCTCTGGATCCAGACAAGCCAAACAACTAGCTGACCATCTCCAACACGCCTTGCCCAGAGCACTCGAGTGCGCACAAAGACACGGGTTCCACCGCCGGCTCCAAACGCACCGCCCGCGACTGCCACCGTTCCCATCAGAACAACCCACAGTGACGACGCTCAACCGAGGCACAACGCATAGCTCAATACTCTGGCCCTGCCGGTTCAGCATTTTCTGGCAGCCCGTGGACAGATGATCCTCATCGGTGCGCCGCTCGCTTCGTTTGTGGAACTGCTCCTTGTTCTCACCCCAGTCGGCTCCATCGGAGGCCTGAAATCCCGAAAACAAAAACATTTTTGCGGGTGCCCCTCGTCGATGAAATTGCCATGCGTTTTGTTACCTCTGCACGCTCTTCCGATTCGTCGGGATCCTCTTCCGCCTTACAAACCCCCCAGACCGCTTTAGTCCAGGTCGAGTCTTCATCCTGCTCTGCTTCTCTGCTGTATTGCCATTTCGCACTGCCAAAACACAAAACAAAAACCCGCATGTGTACATGTAATTCCGCCCCAATGCTTAAGGTCGACCACTCGAAGTCACTTCACATTTATTCAAGGACAAAAACATCAAGAGAAATGGCTTACAGGTTCCCCCGCAGCCCCCTCCAAAATAAACTGCAAAAAAAATATCTGACAATACTTCACAGTACACCATCGAAACATCATTGCCTCGAGAAGGCTGCCGCAATTCATTCCCGTCGCCGACTCTTCAGAGGCTTCTAAAAATCCACCCGAAATTTATTTGTGGGCCAGTTGTCATCTGCCGAGGCGTGCTGGAGAATCGAGGGCGGCGGGGTTGGCGCGTCGATGAGGAGCTGAAAATGATGGCCTCGGTCCAAAATGCCCATCATGCATTCGGCGTTAGTCAGTGCACACCCAGTGAGTTAGCGAGCGAGAGCGGCGGCGACAAACACCCCGAACGGAACAGCCACGACATACTCTCCCCTTGCAGGTTTGCCACTTTGCTCTCCCGGCGCCTTGGCCTCCACATCTCTGGTCTGGGAAAAACAGAGTCCTCTGAACACGACTTGTCATTTTTTTTTTTTAATGCAGACTCAAGTTGCACTCGCCTCAATCGCTACACCGCTGTCCGCCCCTCTGACGAGAACGAGCGGCCCCTCCCTCCTCATCACATCCATGTCTGAGCCCTGCAAAGATGAACATTGTTAGACTGCCGTCACTTGTTGATCTGAATTAGCCGCGCATTTTGCCACCTTTCAACCTCCGGCTCCTCTTTCAGGATGCAAGACCAACACGTGAGAACCCGGCCCGTTATTTTGGAGACTGCCGCTTGGGTTTTCTTCTCTCACTCACCCCTGTTCCACGTCTTTGGCGTGCCAAAGGGCTCCTCTTTGCCCTTGCAAGTATAGAAATGCAACAAAAGAAGCGTGCGCGCCGATTGGTCGGCGACGCCCATCCCGCCTGCAAAGTGTCCACAAGAGAAAAGGGCCAAACGGGAAAAGCTCAAAAAGGATCACCAAAACCCACATCGGACCGCTGCCGATGGGAGAATCAGATCACGGACTGGGACAATGCAAACATTACTGGAGCAAAAGAACACAAACGACGGCTCAGAGAAGCAACAGAGAGCGGGAAACGGAGCACGGACACTCAAAGAGATGAAAACTTTTGTTCTTGTACACGTGGAATTGATTTCTCCAGACCCCGCTCTGGACGGAGCTGGCCGGGAAGAGCACAGGGGTCGAGACGTCACACTGGCTTCCAAAAGGGAGGGGGAAAAAAAAAAAAGCCAAACACAAAGCTTAGCTTGCGGAAAAGAAAAATGAATTGCATACACAAGTAGAGGTAAGATCTGTCCGAAGGGGGGAAAAAAAAAAAAAATCGCGCAGACCCAAGGCTATTGAAGCCCAACCCGGCCAATAAACTTGATTTTATTTGTATTTTTGGGCAGAAAAAACGCAAGATTTCTTAAGGTTAAAATAATCTACCTATTTAAATGAACGTGATAAATGCATTTGCACAACGAAATAACGCTGAAGCACAGAATAAGAGGCCAGACAAAGAGAGACCTTGATGCGCATTTGCTTAATTACGCAGAGAAATCCTGCAGCCCACTCGGCTTTAAATAGAATAATCCAAATCAAATCGGTCAAGATTGATGAAATTATTTCTATCGTTTTGTTTCAACCAAATTTAACATCAAAGGTTCAATTTTCGTTGTCTGCAATTTGGTGCGAAACACGTGCGCAAAATGTCAATACATTTTGGGCCCCGAGCCGAGCTTCGGGTTGGCCAGATCTTACCTCGATACACAAAAACACAAATGTTGTCCAAGAGTCCCATCAGTTGTGCATTTATCACTTGGGTGATTCTTACGCTGCAAGTCAAGACGGGCGTTTTCTCCCTTTGTGACTTGCAGCGTAAGAATGTCGGCAAATTAGGAGTGACAGAACAACAACAAAAAAAGACAATCACATGACTCGTCGTGGTTGAAGTCAACCGCAGGCTCACCGGCGGCCCATCGGGCGCGTGTGAGACTGCTGCGTCAGTGGGAATCTGAGTTGAGAGCCGGAAGCGCCCCATCAGCCTCTTCGTCGGGACCTTGGGCCGTTCGTCCGTCTCAGGTACAGCACTTAGATGACCACCCACTCGACGGCCGTGGATAAAACCACCGAAATGCCGTGTCGTAGGTTGTCGCCGATGGGCACATCCCGCCGCAGCGGCGGCACCACGCCGACCATCTCGGCCTGCACCATTTGAGACAAAAAAAAATTTGGGGTCAAAAAAGGGGGCGTGCGATGCTGACAAAACCGCCCGAAGAATTTCAGGTGGTTACCCAGGATTCAACTGGACAGGAAGGCAGCGAGTTCGATGGCTCTGCTGTTTCACTTTAGAAAAGAAAAAAAAAAACCTCAATTCAGCAAACTACGTTTGTTGGCTTCGCATACTTGACAGTTTGACGCTTTGTCCACCGCGCACAACTGGAAAAAGAAAACTCGTGTTAGTGGTGTGCCCGTCAGCTAATTTGTGATGTACTCATTACCCTGGTCCGAGATCCTCTTGCGACCCCCCTCATGCGGTCCGGTGCCTGCGCGACCCTGAAACACAGACAAAATGTTTTTCCTTGATGGTGTGAGAGAGCCCTTCCTCCAACCCTGCCTACACTGTCGCCTACAAAGCAGCTTCCCAACTGACAAACGCCACAAAGTTGCTCTGGATCCAGACAAGCCAAACAACTAGCTGACCATCTCCAACACGCCTTGCCAAAGAGCACCCGAGTGCCCACAAAGACACGGGTTCCCCCGCCGGCTCCAAACGCACCGCCCGCCACTGCCACCGTTCCCATCAGATATTGACAACCCCCCCGACCACGAGGCGCAACGCAAAACTCGATACTCTGGCCCCTCCTGTTGGGCATTTTCAGGCAGCCCGTGGACGGATGATCCTCATCGGTGCGCCGCTTGCTTCGTTTGTGGAACCGCTCCTTGTTCTCATCCCATTCAGCTCCATGTGAGCTCTGCAACCCAAAAAGTCAAACATTTTTGCAGGTGCCCCTCCTTAATTCAATTGCCATGCGTTTTGTCACCTCCGCACGCTCTTCCAATTCATCGGGCTCCTCTTCCACCCTCCAAACCACGCAGACTGCTTTTGTCCGGTTCTCGTCTTCATGCTGCTCTAATTCGCTGGCGCATCCTGTCCCAAATAGCGACTTCACACTGCAAAAAAATAAAAATGAAAAACTCGTGTTCTGCATTTTTTCACGACTCAAGCCGTTGGTTTTCTTACACTCTCCTCATGGATCTTGTTGCCTCTCGCAGCACGCAAGTGGACGAATAAAGATGTACTTTGGGCTGTGTTTGGAGCAGAAAGGGCTGAAAATGTGCATTCGTGAAACGATTCAGGCTTCCACAATAATATTCACGTTTGTAGAACAGCGAAGGACATTGGTGAATAACCTGCAAAGGGAAGGTGGGGGGTTAGACATGCAATTGGGCTTCCTCATATTGGGTGAGGGGGGAAAAAAAAAAAAAAAAAACATTTTTGACCAAGACAGTAAACTTCATAAAAACAGACCACCTGACAGGAAATGCCATGTTCAAACATTTGGTCAAACAAACAAACCAAAACCTTTCATTGTTCAATTCCCAAGCACAAAGACATCGGTTGCAACAATTTAAAACAAAACAAACAAACAAAAAGAGTAAAAGAGCTGGCCAGCTTTAAAACAAACAAAAAAAAGTTGAAAACGTGGCAAAAGAAACGAAGAGCACAATGTACTAAATCAAAGGAAAGGCGAATGGATTGTGACGTCCTGCCCTCCAACCTCCAACGCTGCAAATCGGGCAACAAGCAAAAGGATATCGTGAGAAAGGACGACAAGCGACAAACATTTGCTCGTGTGCTCACTCACCGAATATAAACCCGCGTGGTCGGTCGCCATCTTGCCGCAGCTGTGCACCGCGCTCGATTAAATTCCCTCCCGCACACCTGACTCCAATTCATTTGCTAGCCTGACGTCACGTTGGCCAATCCGAGCCAACCTTCTTCTACCGCTGCTTGTTCAACGGTGTTTTGCACACGAGCGCCACCCGTTGACCCGCCAGGGTTACTGCTTTGGCTTACCGCGGAAATTGCTCGACTTTCAGCTTAAAAAAAAAAAAAAAAAAAAAATCCAAGTGATCAAATGGCACAAAATACGACAAACTCGGCTCTCGTTCCATCTTCATTGTCTTCAGGCGCCACGTTTTTGCCCTCACGTGTTTAGTATGAGAAATGCTACCGTCCAATATCAGCACTAAAACGCAGGTTGCCAATTTAAAGTACCGAGTTCATCCATTCATTTTCCGATCCAGTTTGTCCTCACACGGGTGGCGGGGGGTGCTGGAGCCTATCGCAGCTGTCTTTGGGCAGTAGTGGGGTGATAATTAAGACTGGTTTTTTTAATCGTTACTTAAGAAGCCAAACAGTATATTTTTCCAGTCCAGAGTAAAGTCACAGTCAACATCATAATAAATGGGTATATCGCTTCCCAAAATGTGTTGGTGGTCCTATTCGTGGTGGTCTTTTTACAAACACCTTACTATACATGGTCATCTGAGAAAAAAATGCCTTATGATACATGGTTGCCTTTTTAAAATGCTAATTCAAAACCCTGCTTTGAAACCTTCAACCTAGGTGAAAACCCTACGTTGAAACCCAAACCTTAGTTTACAAGTCCTACTTTGAAACCCTAACTCCGAGTTGAATACCCTGTTTTGAAACCCAAACGCCAGTCCGCCCTCCTTGACCCCAGGAGCTCGCGGAAAGCGTCGAGTGCGGGAGCCGGGACCTCGGGCGGACGCGGTCCCCGTACGAGGTGAGGACAAGATCACTTCACTTCTTTGGCTGGATGCGTCATTGTCTTTCAGGGGATTCTGGACCCGGCGCCGGCTTCAGTGGCCGGCACTGGGTCCAGAAGGAATCCAGCCAACGGCGGGCTTCTTCTCTACCCGGTGCATCCGAGCCAGCCTTTTGGGTCAACGTTTGGATCCGACAAGCTGAAAAAACTAAAATAAAAATGACCCACCGCCATTTTCGAAGAATGTCCCGTCAAATCGACTTGACTTCTTCGGGCTGCCCAATCTGATCTTTGGTTCCAGACTGCTGGCTCAAAAGAACTGACCTGGGCAAAAGGGACATTCAAATTCAAATGCAAACAGGAGAGACCGTGGTTCAAAGTTTCACAAAGTGTTTTTCAGCAAATAGTTTCCACGGAAAAACAAGTGAATTTGTCAGTCGTGAAAGGATTCCTGTCTTGACTTTCACTGATCTGAGCGCCGTTGCACGTGCCGCAACAGGTTGGGGAACACCTGACCTCTGCATGACCCTTGAGTGGCGCGAGGCTCAGCTCGGGCGTGCGGGAAGGCGTACGGCGGCCCGTCTGGCGCCCTAAAAGTTACTCTCTGACTGCTCATACAGTATCGGAAAAGAATTGAAGACTTACTCTGGATGGATCCATCCATCGCTTGTTCTTTTCGTGCCATTTCACCAGTCCAGCGTATCTGGCGGATGCGCTCGCGTTGCACAGTCAAGACACAGAAGGGCCCGGGGCGGGTCGGGGCACGGCTCACGGTCAGCCCTGGCCAGGTGGCAGCGATGACAAGAATGGTGGGACCAACGAGTCTGTGGGAAGAAGTTTGGGGGAAGACAAGTGTCCATCCGACTCCAGCCACCATGTGAAGCCCGTCCGTCGGAGGGCCTCTTTGCAAAAGGCCCAAAGTCAGCATTTTCAGCACTGGTTTGTAAAAAGAGTCGTCAGATTTGTCCATGGCAAATTGAAGAAAGATGAGGGTCCCCATCCCAAATGTTGAGGTTTCCATTGGTTTCAGCGACGCCACACTCACCTGACTTGAGGTCAAGGTGGCGTGGATTTTGTTCTCAGAGTCACTGATGCAAATTGTTCTTGTCACACTTCCAACATCCACATCCAGTCACCGGATGGATGTCATTGTTGGAAACTTCCTTGTGGATCAAGCCCCACCTCCAGCTTATTATAAGTCTTGTTTTGTTTTGTTTTTTCTCTGAAAAGGCTCCCCGAGTGCAGCTGTTGCTCCCTGAAAAAACCTGACCGTGTGCCGCTGAGAAGAAAAAGCAGAAAGAAAAACACCTTTGTCACTTTAAATCCTTGCCGAGTCTTCGGCGATGACATCATTGTCTGTGAGCACATTACATCATCCCTTCCCAGGCTTGCTCTCTTAAAGACGACACCGCTTCTGTTTCCCGGAGCCGCACACGTCACGTCTCACATAAAAATGATGGGTGCCGGTTATTATTAGATGGGATGCGTCATTTTTCTTTCTGGACCGAGGACCCACTGCAATGTGACAATGAAACAAAAATGACGATGCAAGAACACCATTCAAACTTCTTGACAAGTTAAGAGTGAATATTCCGCTTCTCATATCGAATTGGGCCTGCAGCGGTTTGTTATTCACATTTTACAAGCCCCCCCCCCTCCCTGTGTTGTAATGGTGGTGTGCACAAGGCACCTCACTGGAATGCATTCTCGCATGTCTTGCAAATAAAATGTCTGTCACTCGCTTTGCCGCTTCAGCACCGGCGTGCACGCGCGTAAATCAGAGATGCGGAGAATGTTGAGACAATGTTTCTTTAAGAACCATTACCTTCCAATTCCACTAGAGGGGGGGGGGCTGTGCTAAGGTGCCGTAACGTCACTCTCCCTCCCTCCCCGCTCCTCTTCCTTGCCGTCGTTTACGTGTGTGTATGGAGGGGGGTGTTCTCTCTCTCACACACACACACACACACACACACACACACACACACACACGGAAGAGTGGGGCTTTTCTCGGATCCGGATGAGGGGAGCCGACCCACGCAGAAATGGACTCGAGGACTATTTTACGGCAAACATATCCACGACTGCTATGGTAAGGATGCAACTTTGCAGCGGGAGACAAAACAAAGGTTGCACGCACACACTTAAAAAAAAAAAAAAAAAAAAAAAAAAAAAGCAAAGGCAGCAAGACTTTAGCGAGCGAGCGTGCGTGTTTGGGTGTGCTGCGACCAAACCACTGACAGGTGTGCTGTGCTGCGTACACGCTTTCTTCACGGTGTGTCGGCTGCAGCCTTCGGCGACTTCGACGATAACCGCCTAATCTCGAGCAATTGCACTCGGCATAGTTGCCAGCGCTTGCGGCGTTCGAGGCTTGGCGGTCCTGTTTCGGATTCGCGAGACAGCCAAAGGAAATCGGGGCCTTTCATAAAATTAAATTGAATGCATCTGGGGTCTGCATTTTTTCCGTCCAACTCGTGACGTGCGCTGCGCAGGATGCACGCCATGTATCGCGTGTATGGGTTTGCCTTTTTTATTTTTTTTTTATCGCGATGCCCCCCCCCCCCCGACACACACGCCCGCGCTGGACGTTTTACTGTAAGAATGTCGTCGAGGGCAGCTTTCTCCATCGTCATCTCGTCATTCTCTCCATGAGTGCACGCGCGCAATCGTGGATTCTCGCGGAAAATGTGTGGACGAGAAACAGAAAAAAAAAAGAAAAAGTAAAGGCGCGCTTGGTTCGGTTCCGGCTGTTTTCATCTCCGCATCGCAGCTGCCGACAGTCACTTATCGATTCCGATGATGCGTTTCTTCACTCTTGCGTGGAAGGAGCGGGGGTGGAGTGAGTGGGTGGGGGCATTTCATGGCATTAGAAGTGGACCAACGGTGCTGTCCGTCCTAGTTTTTGCTCTTTTAAGTTTCATCGAGTTGCGGGTGTCGTTGGCTGTGGAGGATTGGCAACCGCGCAGCAGCAGCCCGCCGTTTCCTCAGCCCCACTGTACGGGCGCACTCCACTATAGCATCAATTTCACTGCGGGTGACACGAACTCGAACGTTTACAACTACAACTTGAAATGGAGTTGTATGCAGCCCCCCCCCCCCGAAAAAGAGGACAGAACAAGCGGGCTTTTATGTTTTGGGGTTTAGTTCTGACAGTGTCCCCCTCCAAGTCATTTTTGCTCAGCACTGCCTGGATCTTCCGCCTCGCTGCTTTTTGGGGTCCACAACATGACAGAAATGAATAATGCGCGACTAAAAATGAGCAGCGTGATAGTTATAAACTCCCGACAAAGTGAACATGTTTCCAAAAATATGACTCACCGTTGAGAAGAGGCTCATCAGCGCAGCACCGCCCCCCCCCCCACAACAAACAAAAAGTTTGCATCTTCTCATTGCAGCAGGTTGGTCCTCGTGGAAGAAATGACTGATATGTTCTTTCTTTCGCAGCGTGCTGTGAAAAGTGCTCCCTTGCGGACACAGCCAAGGAGCGCAAGTCCAAGATTTCTCCACAGACTCTCGCCCTCGGCCCGGCGCAACCACCCGCAGAATGGCCCCCATGTAGGAAGCGGCCGGCCTCGTGCCCTCCTGGCTCGTTCGGACCACTGAGCATGCCGAGACCTGAAAGGGGAATTTGAAGCAAGAAAAACAGGAAAACAATGGTCACCAAAGGGATTATATTTCTTCAGAAATGTAAACTTTTACATTTCCCTCTTCGTATGCTCATTGTCATCTCGTAAAAAGCCAAGACTTTTTTTTTCTGGTGGGG